ATGAGAGAAGTGTAAGAACGGAAGAGAATATGGAGTTACAGAGGACTGAGTTGTCAGACAAGAAAGTGAGGAGCATAGGTAAGGAGAATGAGGAAAAAGAAAAGTTCTCCATACAGATGGAAACAGATGAAATGAAAAAGGAAAAGATCAATAATCATAAAGGAGCGAAGAAATTTAGAAAGCTGCCACAGACATTGAAGAGAAACAGGCAACCTTTGAAGGAAATTCAGGAGAATAAGGTGATAATCCAAGGGAAACGAAACATCCAGATAAAAGATAAGGATATGGAAGAAGTAGAAGAGGAGGAACAGCTACAAAAGAGAAGTAGAGGAGGTAGTAAGATAGATCGGGAGATAACTATGCAGGAGGGAGAAAAGGCCATCCCAAATTGGGCCCCCAATCTCCAATGAGAGCTCTGGTGTAAAATTGTCAAAGTGCAGGAAGTCCCTTGACAATTCCCCACTTGAAGGAGGTGAATAATCTCCTCTCCCCTGATATGATTTTTTTGAGTGTGACTAAAAACAAGGTGAAGTATATGGAGAAAGTCCTGAGGATACTTCACTTTGATAAGTGTTGTGTGACTGAAGCAATGAAGAAGGCTTGGGGAATAGCCTTGTTTTGGAAGAAAGAGATTAAGATTAATAGAATATACCAATCTGCTTTTACTATAGAGGCATTAGTAGATGATCTAGAAACCAAGTGTGAGTGGTGGTTTATAGGTATATATGCAAGTTGCGAGGACCAGATTAGGAGGAAATAGTGGAAAGTGATCAAGGAAAGAAAGAGATTGTGGGGAGACAAATGGATAATTTTGGGTGACTTCAATGACATATGTTGAAATGAGGAGAAATGGGGAGAAAGAAGAAGAGAAGAATGAACTTTCAAAAACTTCAATCAATTTATTGAAGAGAACCAGATGGTGGACATAGGGTATGAAGGAAACCCCTGGACATGGAGGAATAATTGGGAAGTAGGAGAAATTAAGTAGGGATTAGATAGAGGGTTGAGCAAAACGGAGTGGGCCATGATGTTTGATAATTCTAAATGCAGACATATAGACACTTTTGCATTAGACCATTCCATACTTTTTTTGGACACAGTGCCTATTGAAAGAAAAAGAAAAAAAAGGTTTTGTTTTGATAAAGATGGATAAGGAAAGAAGGGGTGAAAGAAGTGATCACAAAAGCCTGGGAGGAGGAAAAAGAAGGATCTAGGATGTATAGAGTCTTTAAAAAGATCACTTACTGTAGAATAGCCTTGCTCAAATGGAGAAACAAAGTTAACTGCAGTACAAAAGTGAAAATCAAGGAGATCCAAGAGCTGATTGAAAGATACAGGAACAGTGAAGATAAGGATATGAGAAAGAAAGTCAGAGATTTGAAATTACAGGTTAAAGAAGCTTACAGTGAAGAGGAACTATTTTGGAGCTAGAAAGCTAGAACAACATGGCTGCAAGAGGAAGATAAAAATACACAATACTTCTATGCTGTGGTGAAAGGAAGAAGGAAGAGAAATAAAATTCAGCAGTTGCAGAGAGATGATGGATCTTGGACTAAAAATGAAGGGGAAATTGAAAAGGAAGTTGCTAAGCACTATGAAAGATTGTTTACTTCCTCTGGCCATACTAATCATAATGATATCTTAGAGGAAATACCAGTAACAATCACTAAGCAAATGAATGACAACCTAATCAAACCAGTTGAGGAATATGAGATTAAAGAGGCAATCTTCAATATGAATCCTCACAAAGCCCTAGGCCCTGATGGCATGACCCCTCTTTTCTTTCAAACATTCTGGGATGTTGTGAAACAAGATGTGATCAGTGCTATCAATAGTTTCTTTCATTCAGGTCGCATGCTCAAAGCCATGAACGACACAGTCATATCCTTAATCCTAAAATCAGCAACCCCTTGGACCTTAAGCATTATAGACCCATAAGTCTTTGTAATGTGTTTTATAAGACCATTGCAAAAATTCTGGCCAATAGAATTAAAGAAGTGTTGGATGTGTGTATTAGCAAAAATCAGTCAACCTTTGTTCCTAATAGAAAAAATTCTAGACAACATCATCATTTCCCATGAGTGTGTCCATTTTCTCAAAAACAAAAGGCAAGGAAAGGAAGGCTTTATGGCAATAAAACTAGATATGTCTAAGGCCTACGATAGAGTAGAATGGGGCTTTCTACAAGCCATGATAGAAAAAATGATTCTGTTAAAAATGGGTTGAGCTGATAATGAGCTGCATCAGAACAGTGAGATACTCTTTTAATATCAATGGGGAGACAAAGAAGTATATCACCCTAGGCAGAGGGATAAGGCAAGGAGACCCCCTGTCACCTTACCTGTTTCTAGTATGTTCTGAAGGATTCTCAAGTCTGATAAAGAAAACAACAGCAAGGAAGGAAATCTCTGGATTGAAGATCAGTAGACAAGGGCCAGTCATAACTTACTTGCTCTTTGCTGATTATGACACACTGGTGTTTTGTAAAGCTAATGAGAGCAATGCTCAAAAGCTCAAGGAAATTTTGCACCAGTATGAAGAAAGTTCAGGACAATCGATAAACTTAGAGAAGTCATCAGTGATATTCAACAAAAACATAAAGAATGATCAGAAAAAGAAAATATGTGAAATACTAGGGGGTATTCAAGCAGTTTCACAAGGCAAATACCTTGGTCTACCAATGGTGGTCACAAGAACAAAGGACTAGATATTTGGCTTTATCAAAGACAATGTCAAGGAGAAGCTGCACAACTGGAAGAACAAGTTGTTAAGTGTTGCTAGAAAAAAGGTGATGCTGAAGGCAGTGATAATGGCAATGCCCACATATGCAATGTCTTGCTTGAAACTCTCAGCAAGACTTTACAAGGAAATAACTACGATGATGGCTAGCTATTGATGGGGGAATGCACAAGGAAAAGACAAACTACACTGGTGCTCTTGGAAAAAAAAGACTAAGGAAAAGAATAGGGCAAACTAGGATTCAAGGACCTCCAATGCTTCAACCAAGCTATGCTGGGGAAGCAAAGTTGGAGAATTCTTAAGCATCCAAACTTACTTGTCAGCAGAGTACTAAAAGCTAAATACTTCGCAAAAGAATCCATATTCTAGTGCAAAGTGCCAAAAAATGCCTCGTGATTCTGGCAAAGCATAATGACAGCTAGAGAAGAGATGGAAAAAGGAACATGAAAACTGGTGAACAATGGGAAAACCACACAGATTTGGGAAGACAGATGGATTCAGAACTTAGAGCAAGGAAGGCCAACAACACCAAAGCTAGCAGGATGCAGAATTAACAAGGTGGAGGAGTTGATAAGTAACTTTATGTAGAATAGACCCTTAGTATATGAAACATTCAGCAAGGAGGATGCAAAAAAGATCCTAAGGATGGCTATCAGTGTGTGCGGAAGGAAAGACAATATAGCTTGGATTCATAGCAAAGATGGGCAATACTCAATGAAAACAAGCTACAAGAAAATGATGTAGGAGATAGAGAGAGTATCTCAACAAGGTCAACAAGCTGCGGGATCAAGTGTTGATGAGTCCAACAGCAATTTTTGGAAGACCCTCTGGAATCTTAATATGAAGCACAAATTGAAGATTTTCATATGGAGATGCATATACAACACACTGCCAACAAAGAAGAACATCTTCAAGAAAATACAGAAAGGAGACCCACAATGCAAGGAGTGTGGAGAAGGAATAGAAACAGTGGAACACATATTCTTCCAATGCAGCAAAGCTCAACTGATATGGAAACTTGCCCCAATCCATTGGGATGGAATGAGACAACAGAATACATGTTTTAAAAGGTGGTGGGCAGAGGTTATACGGGCAAGGAAAAGGGAAGAAGGGATGGACCATCTAGCACTTACAGTTAACATTCTCTGGCAAATTTGGAAAGCAAGAAATAATAGACGGATGGATGAGCTGAAGGTGATCCAAAAGGCCAATCAGGAGTGGGTGGAATTTGAAAATGCAGCAAAAAAAAAATGAGACTAAGTAGCACAACAGAAACAAACATAGTAGAACCAAGAAGGCAAGAGGAACGAGAAGAACCAGACTGCCTAGTAATGAAAATAGCTACAGCCCAGGAAGCAAATGCTGAACAACTTGGAATTGGAGTGGAAATATCCAAAGCCAATCATGCAAGGTTCAAGTGGGCACTAGTAGACAGGAAGCTGAATTCAGTGATCCAAAATGAAGCACATGCCATTAAGATAGCACTGAGTAAAGCTTTGGAATGCCAGTGGAGCAAAGTTAAGGTGAAAGTGAAAAGCAAACAATTGATCAATGAACTCCAAATAGGCCAAGGCAAGGACATTGCTACGATAGTGCTGGTGGAAGATATTTTGAGTCTAGCTAGCTTGTTTCAATTGTGCTCTTTCTGTTTAGACAATATTAATGATATTGGGTTTATACTCAAATCTTAATAGCTATGCGCCAAGTATTGCTAGGGATGAGAAGAGAATTCATTCATCCCCTTAGTGCAATGTTGCACTACTAATGTATCAAAGGACTTAGTCCAGCTTATATATACTTTTATAAATATGAATAAAAACTCCTATCATTTCGTCAGAAAAAAAAAAAAAAGAAAGAAAACAACCGGTTTGCTTGCATCAAAACTTACTGTTTGAGCATTGGAAGGTCCTGAAACGATTTCGGCAAAAGTCTTGAACGGATGTACAGTTTGCTCGGTTAGGGGCGGTGCCTCCCCATAAGGAAGGAGGGCTGCCATGGAAGATAGTTGAAACCTAGGTTAAAGGAACGACCAAATCACAGCTGAAAGGATAGGTAGTGCTATCTCAGCCTCTTATTAATGTGATTAACTTGATTAACTTCATTCGTCCTTCCTCTGTTCCCTTCAATTTCCTACAAAATTTCACTCTCATCCATAACATTATACCCTCCAACCGATTCCATGATGCAAGCAGAAAGACAAGTTTGAAAGCAGCAAAAGATGCCACTGCGGTTCCAAACCCTGAAGTTTTGCAAACATAAGATGACCAACAAAGCTGTAATCAACTTGAGACGTATGACTGTTGGCAACAGTTGGAACTGAATCCATTTGAATAGACAGCCTTCCTTTGCGTGAGAAGGACATCAAGTATGCCAATCCTATTAACATATTTACGTATATCTAAGTATTAGACTTATGATTAACAAAATCTCTAAGAAGTCGTGTAAAGATAAGTACAGAAGTCACTTGAAGAGCTCAAATCATGCTTTCAAACTTATCCAATTTTTTCACCCTTTGCATGGACCTCATAAACAAAGTGAGGAAAACACCTGCATATGGAAGTTAATCTTAATCTCAGTATGATGTCTCAATGCAAAAATTTGACCACAAAATCTGTTCGTAGAAGATATTACCTGCACCAAGAAAAGATCCATTCGCTATAATTTGACTGCCTTGATTAGTAAAGGTGACGCCAAGGTTCAGAAGGGTGCCACCTAAAACAGTATAAATAGTTGCCATCTGCAGTATATTCGCTTTCCTTGCTGCTCTCTCTGACTGAAAGACACAATTGCAACTTGTTTAGACCAAACAGGGGATCAATATAAGCAGGAGAAGTGAAAAAAAAGACTTGATTTTGGTTGAGTGATTACTGGCTGATCTTTCCAAATGTAAATTAGATTACATGATAAATAACTGAAAAGTAATTCAATAAAACTTCATTTAGTTTAGGAACTATTTAACGTTTAATTACCTCCAGGACTCTAACTCGGAGTTTCAAATCTCCTGACTCAAGTTCATTCACAAACTCTTCTATCCGCTGAACTCTATAAGGCATGGACATCGTGTATGTTCTTGCCTGAATATGTCCATGAATTTTGTTAGATGAAAACTAATAGGAAACATGGGGTAAAGGCTAATAATGAGGAAAAACGAAAATAAGATAGAAGAGGAACGGTAATCTTTTCTGCACATTATTACAATACCATGTGCAATTTTGCATCAAGGACATTGAGAAAATGCACATTAGCAACGGAATGAAGCTTTGAAAAGCAAAACTAACAAGAAAGAAACAATTACATCATCAGCTTGTCTTCTTATTTCCTGAACAAGTTGTGTCCCAGTCCTTTGCTTCTGCCTCATATCCAAGAGTTCCTGTAAAACTGAAGAAATAAGGGCCACACTCAAAAGTATAGATTACAAGTATGATGCTCAAATCATTACTTGTAGCATTTTAATTATAAGGTAGATTTCACGTTAATTAGAATCACCTGTGCATACGGGGCAGCTATCTTAGCAAAAGAAAAATCTGGATCCAGTACGTACCCAATGCCTGATAAAAAGCAGCTTCAGTTCCAATAAGCAAATTGTGATACAAGTTTCAACATTATCCGAAATTGAACAAACCCGCTGAAGAAGCAGTATTTAGGGAGTGCCAATTGTGTCTTTGGCAGGGAGTAGTTTCTTTTTTCCCTTTTTCCTCATTAGCTAAAGAAAGTAGGGGAAGGGCCGCCAAGCTTATATGCCTGTCTTGGCAATTATTAAAGGGGTTCACCCCTGCTTGGACTGTCTGGCTTAAGCCATATATCCAGATATTAAGCCTGCCTGCATCCTATTCCTACCAAAATGCTAGAGGTACAAGAGCCATCTAAATGGTGCCTGGTTCAGTCACACCTACCTCGAGCAGCGCATATACTAAGCAATATAAAATTTAATAAAACCTAACCCAGGCTGGTTTGAACTCATAATTCTGCAGACATGGAAGACCAGCCACATATGACCAGGCTGTAAAGCTGATAGTGGCTGGAAGTGGTTATTTCTCCAGTCTCATTTTCAAAACAGGGTGTCCAGTGGTGGAACCAGCAGTTGTTTATGGGCTGTTAGATCAGACAATCTAACATATGAGACAGAAAAAGACAATTCAGACATCAGTGCTGCTTTTCAATGAATCCCCTTGGACCATTTTTATTAGTTAGCTGTCAGCTAGACAGCAGAAAAGAAAAGGTAATGAAAAGGAACCATTATCCACCGGAGGGGAGGGGGACAACTTAATATTTATACAACAATTTTTAGGAGAAAGAGAAAGTAATAACATAAATTAAGTGCATAACATAATACAATACTCCTTTTCCACTTTCCCTTCCCAAAAGATGGATCAAAAGAAGAACGCAATAAAGTCATAAATGTGTTTATGTATATGTCAATGAGAATTCTGTTATGTTAATGACCTATATTGCAGGAATAGATTAAACAAACTTTGACACATGGAACTCTAGATGTTTTCTCTCACAGAATCCAATACAAGAATTTTCCTACTATTGAGGAGAGATACCATGAGAAATTAACTAATTGTGGTTAAGAGTTATTTGGCAAGTTACATACTTGAACTAATCTAAAAATGCATCCAAAAGTCATCAACTTTAATCACAAAAAAATTGCACCATTTAAGTACCATATTTCCATACAAGTTTTAATGTATTAGTGGCTGAGAACTGCATTTGCAGGTCCAACTGCAAAAAGCAGCCAATAAAATGGCCCTTCAGATAATGAAATAGTCAATTCACAACTGCTCCTAAGAATTGGAATATGCTCACACATGATGGAGGCAATAATTAAAATTTAATGTCATTAAACTTCTTGCTAGAATGGGTTCCTGCTTACTACTGACTTAGATTAACTGTTCCAAGTACAGTTCTCAAGCATTAATACATCACTTTTATCATGTCTAGGAGGAAACCGTCAGTCCCAACACTCCATTGATCCTTCCTAACAGACTCCTACCCCCCTAACCGATTGCTAAGTGGTCAAATTTGAAAGTTAGAGCACCTTTATAAGTTCAAACATGCAATTTGTTGAAAAGGTCAAAACATTAAAGTCAAGGAATGCAATGGTGATATTGTACAGATTCACTTGATGGCAATGAGAGAGAGAGAGAGAGAGAGAGAGAGAGAGAGAGCACCTTCAAGTGTCGAAAATGCCCTGAGCACAAATGTAAAAGTCGAAGGAAATCGAAATGGCTGATCTGTTGCTATAGCAAATAAATCCTGCAAGGAGATTTGGCACAAGCATTGATCAAGCAATGAGGTAGTCCAGTTTGCAATGTGCAATATAGATAAATTCATGTGCCTCAGTGTGCAAGGGAAGAACTACAACAACAATTAACAAGTAAACATGAGGCTTCAGTGATTTGACACATGAATTCATATCCTTCCCTTACTTCAGAACCTATGATATGGAAATAAACAAGGAGCTAGAAACTTCTCATTTTGTCCTCATTAATATGGATATCTAACTAAGACAATCATTTACAGAATTATTTGTCTCAGCAGTGATTCAAGCCGTTTGGAGATGTTCTGCTGCAGCTTTAAATCCTCATAGATACATAATGTAGGTGAGACAGATGATCTCTATAATTCCAGAATCCCTATATCAACATACTTTGTAGAGTTAAGCACTTTAGGCAAGTTAGAGTACAGTTTCTCAAATAATTATCTATTTTCTGAGAAGCTGTCAATATCCTAAAAATGCAGTCAACATGGATAATGTCTATTTCATTTTCAGGAGAAGCAACTTTAACTTTTGTCATAGTCCCTTGTGATTGAATAATGACATCTTCTGCCTCAATGTTTTAGTTTATAACATTCTAAACTAATGCAGTTTAAGGATAACTGCTAGCATAATAAATCCTACAGTCTATTGAAACATAGGGGATCAAATATGTAAAAAGCTATTGGATGTGGGATTAAACTGGAAAAGGTATAAAGATAACATATTAAATGCTAAAGCTGAATTTATATGAGACTAAGGTGGGACAAACTACAGATCTCCCTTTCAGGAGTGAAGAATACTAGATCATGAAATTATTTCTCTGTAAATCTTCTTCATTTAATTTTGATGCCAAGGAAATTACCTGGAATTTGTAGTTTTATATATTCACTAAATCTCCACTTTTTCTTCAATTTATTTGTGTGGCATCTGCATTTGAATTATTATTAATTTTTTTGTTTGCTTTCTAACATAGAAAGTTGACTAACAAACCAGAGTTTGACTATGACTCCACTAACAAGAATGCACTCGCTTCTGTTGTTAAACACTCCAGTATATAACATTGACACTGAAATTGAACAGTTTCTCATAATTTTATTCTCCATTGATCCCTTTTAAGTGTACTGATAGATCCCTACTAGCTCAGTTGCTAATATTAATAGACCTTTTCCTACAGAAACTGTCCAAGGGTTGTCTAACATAAATTATTACAATTAAAAGTTTCAGTTGATTAAACCCTAAAGTATAAGAATGAATTTACTCAATTTGCATTTCATGTCTGTTGCTGGACATGCACAAAATTTAATATGGTGGAAGGATATTTTAACAACACCATGACTCGAAGTAATCAAGTAACAGCATCAAGTTACATATAAAGCTTGTGATGAAAATTCAAAGGTCACGGGATTGAAAATTTTTCGATTTTATTTGTTGTTTTGGCTTCACAAGTGGCATGTTTTTTAAGTAGACCTCAGGTTTTTATTTTCTTTTAGTCAGAAGAAATAATAAGCATGTTAGGGGAACATTTTGAGGAATAAACATTTCAAAATTCAAGTGAAATTTTGAAGAAAATTGCAGGAACATTGACTCTTCTTAGGTAATGATATTGTTTCCTTCAACTTAAAATGATCACTGCAGCTTATCAGGATAACACAGGCTGTTTTCGCCAGTGCCCAAGACTATTAACAGTGCATGTCTCCTCTAAGTGAAGGCTGAAGGGGTGCGAGACTGCAGATGATAATCTGACTTTTGGCATAACTCACCAAATAGTACAACTACAAAATTGAATAAGTACTTGCTAAAAAATCTTCTTTTTTTGAAAAGGTCTACTTTTACGAATGAATAGAAAATCCAAATGTCTGAGCTTGCACTATGTGATGAAATTTGTCCTAACCTCTCCAATTGCAGATAAAGTTTGTTGTTGATCTGGTCTTTGATCCAACAAATTATCCAAGAAAAACTGTACAGACCTCCTCACCTGTGAATGACAAATATTACAGATGGTTAGAAGTAGAGTGGAAACGAATGCATGGTAAAAGTGACCATGCAGTCAGCATTTCCCTCTCAAACTCATTTGTGACTGTGTATTAAGTTCTGGTTTGATACCATACCGATGACATGTCCCCAGTTGGCTGAAGTGCTCCAAGGTCAATGAGACTCTGCATAACCTGCATAGAAAACCTCTCATTTAAAAGTTGGAAGTCTTAACCATGACCGATATCAAGAAAATATAACAACAGAAAGCATCCTTATTCTGTCTATGTTGCTTCTTGGTCACTTTCAGAATTCTAAAAGCAAAAGTATGCTAAACAAGCCTTGCTACAATACTTTTCTGAACATTCTAAAAGCAAAATCATGAGTAATCTACCTAGCTATGAGAGTTTGCCTCTTTAAAGTATTGGAAGTGAATATGTTTAATTCCTTCTTTAATTTCATTTTTTTTCCTTTATTGGCTCCTTTGTTCTCCCTCCAATATAGGTGGTCAAAATGCATTAAAAATGCGACCATTGTACTATTTCAGCTCCGCACAGACTCTATACACCAAAAAGGAACCAGGTGACATGATAACAACCAAACAAACTTCATAAGTTGTTGAAAGGTTGGTAATCTAGTTTAATGAACTCTCTCACTAAATTTTCTACTCACTGTCAGCTTCAATGACATTAGTTGAGGTATTTAGTTTTCTTTTGTGTCTCTCAACATCCATTCCCAACCATACCTTTTAGTGAAAAAATTGAAGCTGCTATAGTTGTGTACAGGTTATAATTAGTCGATTGCTATCAATAGCAACAAATTGCAAGTAAAGACTGAGCCACAGCTTACATAGAACTAGAAGTTTTTATCCATTCTACATTCACAAAGATTAGAGCCAACAAATCATGTGTGTCTAAGAACAAAATGAAGTTCTCATAACCGCTATAAGGATATGTTTGTAATAGTCTCTTCAGGTAGTATTGAACACAACCAGAAGTCATTGACAATGGTAATAGACTCGAGGAATTTTTTTTTTCATTAACTTACATTAAAAGAAGCACTTGAAAACTTTCAGTTATTCAAATTTTACATCACTTTGAAGCAAATTTTTCACATCAAACAGAGCTGCATTGAGCATTCATCTAAACTGCCTCAAGGTAAATGTCTCTCTTTATAAATTTTAATTCAACAAAATGATATGGTTGCTTCAGTAATTAAAAGCTATCTACAATGACAAGCTTTTCTCAGGACTTAATGCTTCAGATTAAGACTTTAATATCATGATCTCTATCCAGCTAACAAGAACTTAAAGACGGAAGTTCAATTACAGACATAAAAAAGTTCGAGACTAAGTAAGTCAAAGGAAATTTCAAGCAAATACTGCTGTCTGAAGAATACCATTGTGGTTATCTCACACAATTAATGGTATGATACAATATATAGATACATATAAAATTGTAACTTGATCTATGATGAGGATACAAAAGCTAGAGGAGTGGGCAAAGATTAAAAAGATCTATTTCAAAAATTTTCAGAGTCCATGCAGCTGTTTTTGTAAATACAATTAAAAAAAAAAGGATTTGAGCACTTTGCCAGTTCAAAGAATCAAGTATGAAGACAATAAGAAGATGTTCACCTTTTTCGCATCCTTCTCATAAACAGCATAGAAAAGCTCCAACAGTCTCTCCATTGTAAAACTCTTAATATCCCCCATCATACCAAAATCATAGTAGATTAGAGCTTCGTCAACATCAATAGCAAGATTTCCAGGATGAGGATCAGCATGAAAGAAACCTGTCTTCAGGATCTAAATTTGTAGCAAGGTTTTTAATCTTTCAGTCAAAGAGAAATGGAGTTTATTCCCACATGATTTTAAAAACTTGGTACTTGACTTCTTCACCTGAATCAAATATGCTTCAATAGCACGTGACGAGATCCGAGATCTGCTAAAACCTCGCGCATCAATCTTGTCCAACTGGTTGATCTTAATCCCTGTTAATGTTGGCCATAATAGACATTATCCTTTATTCGGTTAGATGACGGTTTTGTACGCAATATGCATATGTAACGTTTAGAATATCCGAACCTGGGACATACTCCAACGTCAACACCTTTGTTGCGGTGTAATCCCAATATACCAGCTACAGCACAGAAAAGGAAGCAATTAAGTAGTTGGAAAATATTCCACCATTCAACCCAAATAAGCATGAAAAACTGCCAGTCCTTGAGGGACTACTTCAGAACTGTTGCAATCAGTAGCCATCCCACAACGCTATAAGTCTCATCTTTCCATGGATATAGAAGAACTTCTATTTTCAAACCAAATCATGAAGTTTGACAAATCATATTTTACTAGTAAGTCCAAATAGGACTAAAAATGAGACTGCAGGAAACTTATGTTTAGCTTGTAGCTTTGTCAAGATTACAATTCGAAACAAAAGTAATATATCAGTAAGACAAGTAATCCATCTGTCTTACTTATTGAAATATAAAACAAGCAGCAGAAACACTAATATTTTTCTTTCACTTCATCATAGTCCCTAAAGAGCCTAAAAAAAATACTGACATCTTTTTCCCATTTAAGTTAAATGTTTGTAACAACAAAAGCAGATTAAATATGATATAGGAATGAGTATATGAAAATTCAAAACTCTTCTAACAAGGAGTCACCAATGGTGATCACACTAAAATAGTAAAATGCAAATATATCCTCAGTTACTGGGCAGCGATAGGGATGCCAACTAACATGGGGATGAGACATAAATACACAACAAACAGACATTTTAAGGAGAGGAAATTGGAAGGCATCTAGCTGGAAACATACAGGTACTCGGACCCACTTTATATTTCTAAAATCCCGGCGGAACCTATCTGCATTCTTCCCTTCATTTATGTAATCAATTTCCTCATACAAAATCCTGAAATTTCGAACAGACCAAAAGTTAGCTAAAAAACGGAAAGTTGCACCAAAATGAAACAAACTAACAAAGTAGACATCAGATTTCTCATCCAAGTCCCTCCCTTCCTATTTTCCTAACTCAGAAAGCAGCAGATTGCTAACCACTACTTATTGCAGCAGCCACTCAGTTGAGACAATTTTTAATTCACAGGGAGAACATTCAGAGGTAACGAGTGAAAGTAAAATCATGGTGAAGTGGTATATAACAAAATACTAAAGTTATTATCGTAGTTTGATTGAATGGGTCCAAGAAGCAACAAGTACAATGATTAGTTAAAACCAAGAAGATGTCTTTTACCCCAGGTCCATCTAGCAACCATACTGCTTTCGAGGGTGTAGGATCAAGAGCAAACCATGTAATCTTGTGGGTACCAACCAAGGAAGGGAATTGGTGACAAGTGTTGTTGTGTAAGGGATTATGGGAATACCATATATGGACATTCCTCCTACCACACAAAAAGCTAGTTTACCTTGCTGGGGGCAGATAAGGAATTGGAAAAAACTTATAGTAATTTCATTCTTGTCATCTAAAACTTGGGAGCTGCAAGCTCCCCTAGAGAGTATTTGCAACATAAATATTTCAGACTGAAAACTTCCTTACCAACTAAGCTTGCAAAACGTTTTGGTATATAAAGAAGCAAAATTCATGGCTGGACCAAAGTGCCCTCTTTATCAACCAACAATATCTTGTTGCTATGTAAATGCAGTTCAGTTAAATTCTCTTTTCCTTCAATTTTACCACATCAAACATAATGTTCGAGGTATAGATAAATTACCCGAACAAACAAAGGAAATACTGTGACTTACAGACATGGAGTCAAGAACTGGGAAAAACAAATTAAGAAATCACCAACCCTCATTTAATTTCAGTAGAGAAAGTACTTATGGAAAGGTAGAGGAAACCCCGTCAGAGACCTTAAATGTTCTCCCTTTTTAAACTATGGAACGGATTAGAAGAATTATAGTATCTCCTGCAACAAAGTTCTCAAACCATGTCCACAAAGCAAAGCAAATAGATAGCTACTCTAGTGGTCAATAAAGTCATAGCAAGCATCATTAGGAGCTGGTAATCATATCTTAACAAGACAATGAATCATGGGAACAGCTTGAATGTGTGAAGAACTTAAGAGGATTACTAGGAAACAGAAGCATGCCATAAGTTTTATCTTCTTCTAGCTTTATCTCATGCAGTTAGTCTTTTAGATCAAGACCCACTCCCCTGAGTAATGAATTAATACCATCAAACCGATTTCACACAACAAAGTTCAACTTCAGAGAAAAACAGCAAGAATAAAGCAAGGTAAAGAATTAGGTATTGGTTCCAACTATTACTTAGCACATTCTTCATAAATTCCTATCCAGTCCCTTGTTGGACCACCAAGTGTTTCACTGTTCTGAAAGTACTCAGCAATTAACTTTAAGTTACCTGCATAGAGGACAGCAAATGCTATCGGTAATTTGATGATTAAAATATAATAATAATAAGAATTCGTACAGGTAGAAGCTCCAGAAACTGTTATAAATGGAACTTACGCAAATCAATGTCAAACAGCTTTTTTAGACCAGGTCTTTGAACTTTCACCACAACTTTTTCCCCATTATGTAAGATAGCACGATGCACCTATCAACATTGCATTAGAATTAATCGAACGAAGAAGCCACTTGTTAGAAAGAAACAAACCATGTAAAGAGGAAATACATACTTTTTTATACATGACACCACCTATGCATCTATAAACTTTTTTTTTTTTTTGGTGAAACATATCATTCCAAGATGACCTTAATTACGTATCTCTCATCTATTTAACCATTTATTCATTCTATGTAGCAAAACCCAGATACAAAAGGATCAAACCAATAAAATAAAAAAATAAATTGGTTGAATAAAAGGAGCTCAACTCCAATGACTAGCTCCATAATGTTTTGAACTACAGAAAAGAGTTTGACTGCATGAAATGTGATTATATGAATTGATTTAGAGTAAGGTATGAGAAAATGATTCATGAATTGTATGGAAAAATGGAAACAGAAAAATCAGTCATGCATTGTACGGAAAAAAAGCAAACAAAAGTCAAGTCTGGACCATTATGTTTGAACTGCTGTATTGAACAGGAAAACAGTATATGTTTTTCAATCTATCTTTGTCACCAAGTTAAACACAATTCACAACGCCAGCGATCTTAAAGCGTACCAGACTTCATAAACATTTTAGTATTGCTGGATTGGGAAGAACAAAAATAAACTTGAAGCAAACCTGACCAAGACTAGCAGCAGCAATTGGTCTTTCTTCAAACTCCTTAAATAACATATGGACTGGAGCTCCCAGTTCCTTTTCAATGAATTCTTTTGCCTTTTTTGATGGAAAGGCAGGAACTCTATCCTGCATCATACATCAAAAATTGCAAAAGTAAAAAGAAAGAAAATTTTCAAATTCAGTGCTGTATGGTATTGATAATGAATTGTTTGATATGTGGTTTGATGTCAGAAAGAGATTGTTCATATGACATGTCCAGACCTGCAACTTGGCAAGCTCATCCACAAACTCTCTTGGAAATAGGTCAGACCTTGTTGAGGATAACTGCCCGAGTTTGATAAACGTAGGACCAAGTTGCAGCACACACTCTCGTAGCCATGAAGCAGTTCGGCGTCTTCTGGTTTTCTGATAAATGAGAAGACCTGTAACTAATTAAGAGCACCTAGGGATAGAACTCCAGAATACAGAACCAAGATAACTGACAAGAGACATACTTCACCAGCTAAACATAACATAATCCTAAATATCACCATATCCAGATTAGCAATATTCCGAGCAAATAAAAATAACAGCCAGTTAAATAATACCTGCTTGTCTTCCGTGAAGCCTCCCAGATAAGCCCACTTCGCATTGTCCAATAGAACACGCATGCGCAAGGAAATAACAAATGACCAAACATCAATGGTTCTTTGCCAGGAATTGTAATTATCATTTGCCCAACTGAAGCCTTCATCTGAAGGCAAAACCTTCAGATCTTCAATGGGGGGGAGCTCATCAGTTTTAAAATTCTTAATAATGGCTGAAGCAGAGTCTCTCTTCACTAAGCTTGCTCCATTAACTTTATAAGCTCCATTTACAGCCCTCTTTGAGCCATCCAGTGCATTGTTGACCGGTGGTTCTTTTCTTTCTGTAATTGCTCCATTACTAATCCTACTTGAACCATTTACTATCTCTGAATTGTTTACTGATGGAGCTTTTCTTTTCATAACATCACTTGCAGGTACCATTTTAATTGGCCTACGATTGGTGCCAAATTTGACATGGGGTTCTGTTTGCTGCATGACCACTTGAAACGAATAATTTTGTCTAGCTTTCACCAATCTACATTGATGCGACTCAAACTCCCTAGAACCCCACACCGATATTGTATCTGAAAAGCCAAGGTTTTGATTTGGTTTTCCAATGTTAAAGCTGAATACTTCCTCAATGCGGCAATAGCAGCTGTGAGAAGCCAATATTGCCGCCATCTAAGTTGATAAACCTGACAATGAGCCAAGTATTAAAATCATGAGAGAAATACAGGAGTATCATGTTGGGCTCTGCATAGATAACTGAACTCCACTTCATTTTAATTTAACAGAAATAATTTCCCTGAACAACAACAGGAAGAAATAAAAAGGTTAATCAACAGCATCTATGCTTCACAATGAGTAAACAAATCTCAGAGTTGCAAAAACTCAGCCAAAATGTACCAGTGTCTAATCTAAGAAGCAAAAATAAAGGTGCAATAAACATTCAGAGGAGAGCATATTAAACCCATTCTAAGGCAAGGACGTGCCACAGGCTTCACTGAAGACTTACAGTAATTTTAACAGATCGCCCACCAGCGAGGGGCTGATGACAGCAAGACTTGCACATAGGCCTATTTCAGGCTTTCCAAGCCTAACGAACTAAGCCAACCCTAAAGAAGCTAAAATCAACCCCTAATAATCCCTACACGTTCTCAGATTGGGGGTGTTCGGGGGTGTGGGCAGAGGAAAGGGAGGGTATTCGGTAGTCGTAACAATTTCTAAATCAAATTTAAGTCCATTTTTACAATTCAAAAACTCCAAGACCCCCATAACTGATCCAGAATTTTTCTTTCTTCACGTCTACGCAGAGACCCAACCATCCATATCAATGCAAGAAAATGATGAAATCAACATGAGAATAAAAAACAGAGCATATTGAAATCTTGACGATCACAACCAACAACATAAATTTTATTTGACATGGTAGACATAAATTATACCAAAAGGAGCAAAAAGGGTTCTGATTAACATTTTTAGCTTACAAATGAATCTTTCAAGAAGTTGCAGAAAAAGGGACACGAATTAAAATTGGTATAAAAAATTTTCTGTGGGTTCACTTCTTAAAAAAAAATGCAGTCTAGGCACTTACCGAGGAAGAAAGAAATGCACTCTGCTGAATTATGGTTGTAAGAAGAGTGATGGTGAAGAAGAAGAAGAAAGAGCAGCTGTCAAATGCACCAGAATTAGATTGGAAGAAACAACAAGCTTCTTAAACATGTAGCGTGCACTCTTGGTACAAGTAAAGCTCAAGATGCCTAATTCGCTTTCTTTGTGGAGTAGAGGTTTGAGAATGAAAAATGCTGCAAACATGGACATGTGTTTTGCTCCCGCTCAACGACAAAAGCTAAAAATGGATTTCGAACAGCCACCACTACTTGATTGGTTGGAATCCAAAAAAATCAAATCCGACATTTTCTTCCCCAGTAAATTTTGGCAATTTAATTCCTTGTCTTTCTTTCTTTGCTTTTGATTTTTCTTTCCGTTTTCGTCGGGTTTTGACTCCATTCATTTTCTAGTCTGCGAGTTCATGTGAGAAAATAAGAGACAAAGCAGACTTGGGCATAAGGCATCCGTTGAAAGGCCAAAGATTTTTTTTTTTTTTTTTTTTTTGGATAATGGATTAAACGTGGTAGGTCTGATAGCTCAAACCTATGGGATCCGTTAAAAGACCAAGGATCTTACATTTTCTATTGGGCAATTTTTGGTAAGCAAATATATAAGATTTTCAATTACCAAAATTGGTACCCGTATTGGGCCGGTTTCAGGGCGATGATATGGCTAATCAACTTTGGCAGTGAGTGAAGTGGTTGATGTTGCCGCGTGTCTGTTGCTGCGTACTTACTTAATGAGATTGATTTTGGTTAGAAAGGCTTTCCAATCACGATTTGCTTCTTTGTTTTGGTGGGATTAAGCACGTGATAAGTCTGTGCTGATATTTTGGCAAGATTAGGATATGATAATTTAATTGTCTAAAATTGTATCACATTACCTTATGAGATAGTTTGAGACAATCTGAATTAGATCAAATCTATCCAAATATGAGTCAGGACATGATATCTTTTTCGTTCCTAAAATTAATACGAGACTGTGAATGCATTTAGGTTCAAGTCAAAATTATACATCTGAGATACTAAATTGGATCATTTTAAGATGAGGGACTAAAAAAACACAAAACTTAAGCAAATTATATGTGCAATATAATTTTGTCCAGTATATTCTCGAATATGTTAATAAATAAATGGCCTAAAGATTTTTAGTAAATTAGTTAACAACCTTTCTTTCTCTCACTTACACAAAAAAGGTTAAAAAATAAAAACCTTTCTTCATCATTAAAAAGCAAGCATTCTATTTTCCGTGATCCCGTTCTAGGAAAATTGGGAGTCAATAAAAGTAGCTGTCAGTGAGGATGAAAACCCTTTAATTTGACTGCGATAAATGCAACAGTTCCTAATTTGACTAATTTGTTTCCAAATATTTTCTGTTTATTACGTCTGTGCTGACGGTGGTTTCTAGCTGTGGGGTGGGGCCTGCCATGCCTCTCCAGCTGACTGTGGTTCCTATAATTCCCGTGTGTTAAATTTTAAACCAAGAGAATTGCCGAAATATTTTATGCATATTATAAATTTATACTCTCCCGAATATGCGGGCAAATATCTATCTTGGCAACCCTTTCTAGTTGCCAGTTGCAACTTACAAAATCCCAAGAAAGAAAATGGCCGAAGTTTTCTGCTTCGCGCGCGATTGAATTGTAGGATATCTATATATTCGAGCAGGAGATTATTTAAAATAATATTTTAAAAATACTATAGCGCTTTTTATAATATATAAAATAAAAAGATGATTGAATAAAATTAAAAATAATTAAAATATATTTATAATATAATCAAATAATTATTACACATAAAGTCACATCCAAACAAACCCATTACAAATAATTTGTTTCTTTGTCAATTTTGCTGCTTGTATTTATTTTAACGAGCCAAATTTTGTCAATTACCTACCTTGTATATAAGAAAGAAAGGAGGTTTAGTTTTTTGCCTCCTTTGTTGCCATTGACTTTCCAATAATTTGACAAGTGGCAAAAGTCTAATATTTTTCTTGCATATGGTTTCCTTGCCTCTTGCATATCCCCTTTTTTTTTTTGCTTTTTTTTTTTCATGCCAAACTGAGCAAGTTTGGCTCTTTTATTCTCCTTTTGAGCCTAACGAATTTTTTTAACCTTAATGATTTGACTAAGTGAGTCTATTGTTTAATTCATCACCATTAGATTAGTTTTAATACAATGACACTACATGATCAATTTTCATTCGTTCTAATTGTCTACCTATTATATAAAAGACATGGAAATTTAATGTAGCACTCTCATTTATTGACATGTGATGTAACTCTCTTATGAGGAATTTATGATTTTTCTCCCATTTTTTATTTCCCTACTTTTATCTTGATGGAGCAAGACAAAAGATGTACCATACAGGATAAGACAAAAGATTTCAATTGCAAGTCATGTTGCATAACTTCTACCTTGTATATAAGAAAGAAAGGAGGTTTAGTTCTTTGCCTCCTTTGTTGCCACTTGACTTTCCAATAATTTGACAAGTGGCAAAAGTCTAATAGTTTTCTTGCATATGGTTTCCTTGCCTCTTGCATATCCCTTTTTTTTTTTGCTTTTTTTTTTCATGCCAAACTGACCAAGTTTGGCTCTTTTATTCTCCTTTTGAGCCTAACGAATTTTTTTAACCTTAATGATTTGACTAAGTGAGTCTATTGTTTAATTCATCACCGTTAGATTAGTTTTAATACAATAACACTACATTATAACCCTTGGATCAATTTTCATTCGTTCTAATTGTCTACCTATTATATAAGAAACATGAAAATTTAATGTAGTACTCTCATTTATTGACATGTGATGTAACTCTCCTATGAGGAATCTATGATTTTTCTCCCATTTTTTATTTCCCCAATTCTATCTTGATAGAGCAAGACAAAAGATGTACCATACAGGATAAGACAAAAGATTTCAATTGCAAGTCATGTTGCATAACTACACGAACTTCTACTGTTTTTATATATTGTCTAATTTATGACTAAAAGATCAACCTTTGTAGATTAATGAAAAAAATTTTAATCCTTGGATATTGATTAATTATGTTTGATTAGTAGCTAACCAACTATTACATTTAAACAACTCTTTTATGTAACCGATTAAAGTCTCTTTTTCTATTTCTTTATAAATCGTTTCTCAATGTTGCATAGAAAAAATCAGATTTCTTCCTTCCCAATTGTATTCAACTATGCACTTGTTCATTAACCTCAAGATTAGTGATGGATTTAATAGATGCTATGTTTATTGTCTCCTTGATTTAGAAGAGTTAACTTCATAGATGGAATTTCTTCTGATGCTCAATTTTTCTCATGTTTTTGTCTATTATATACCGAAAAATTTTGATGTTATATGTTCAATTAAATTATTAGGGGGCCTAGGCTGTGCCTTGCACAGCCGAGGTACCTCTAGTAGTAGTAGGGGCTGATTTCTTCGGTTACGAAGAATGTTCCCATATGGTGCAAAGCAAAATGAGTGAGAGAGGTTGTGACAACGCAACATGAGGATAGTCAAATTTAGGGGTAGCAATTAAGTCAGATTCGGATTGACGGATCGAGATGAAATCGAGGTATAATAGATAATTTGTTGATTCGAACACAATCAGTCAATCTGAAACAGGTCAAGATACCTGGCTCGAACCCGAAAATTTCGAGTTGACAAGTCAACCCAAATGACCTTAAACATAATTTCAATTTATTAATTTACCACTGTAATTTCTAACAAAACCAATTTCGTATAAGGCAAATTACATAATCAAGTAATAAAAATCTCAATAAAATAACTCTAAACCAGATCTGAAATAAATTAAACACTTTAAAAGTATTTTATCCCAAATCAGATTTAAAATAAATTAAAACACTATAAAAATAGAAAATAATGTAATATATCATTTGCCCCAACATAAAAATTTCAATTTCACACAAGTTAAACAAATTCATTTATGATTAAGTAGTCAATGCCTTTGGGGAAAAAATAACTTAGTTTAGTTAGATAAAATATTTTTATATTTATTAAATTATTTTTAATTCATAAACAGTTTATTGAATCAATTTGTGGGTGATCTGAATTTGACTTTTTTTTTTTGGTTCATCAAGTTCGACCCCAGTGAAATCTCAACCCAAACTCATTAATTTCGTGTTAGATTCGCGTCATGTTTTCAGATCATGTCGAAAATTGCCGCCCCTATAATCAATATGTATCAGGCTGTTGGGGCCCATACACCATGCAGGTCACGCGCTACTAAAGGACTGCTCCTTTTCTTTAAAATTTCGGACGAATAGGGCTCATGTAGCATGAATTTGCAGCATTATAGAATGAACAAAATGAACGTCCGCAAAAACAAACACCTTTAAGTATGTACTAATATGAAATGGATAATCATAGAAACAAACACCTTTAAGTATACACTGACACGGAAATGAAATAGGACGAAATGGTTATAACAGACACTTAGGTGAGTTTGATAAAATTAAAATCTGAAAATTGAAGTTTGAAATTTAAAATCTAAAGTTTGAATCCATTAAATTATTGAATTGTTAAGTATTAAATCTAATATATTTGAGTGTATATCACATTTAGTGATAAATAAATTGTTTATCACTTAATTTTGGGAGTAAGTTTTGTCTAGAAAATTCAGTGCTAATTAATTAATTCAGATTTTCAATTTTTTAATATAAAACGGTCTGAATATATTAAGATTTAAATCCATTAAATTGAAGTACTGAACTAGATTATCAAACAGGGTCTTAGGCTTCCTTTGGATAGAGAGAAAAGGGTAGAAAAGAAAATATTCTGAAAGAAAGTTTTATCATTTCGCTCCTTTGGGAATTATTACAATGATGGAAAAGAAATGAAATGAATGGATAAAAGCCCTGCTAATAGGTGAAAAAGTTTCCACCCAAAATTGGGAAAAAAAAAGGAAGGAAACTTAGTGAGTGCCAAAAGATATTTTCAATATGACATTTATATTGTTGAAAAGTTGATACAAAAATTTATTATTCTCAATTAGACATATCAATGGGTAAGGTTTGAATTGGATCCCATTGATTCAAATCCAGATCCATCAAATTTAGTTAAACACAAATCCAAACCCAAACTCTTATGGGTCTGAAAAAATAAGTCCAAACCCAAACCCTCTTGAATTTGTGTATCCGTTGCATTTTTGTAAACACACTAAAATAAAAATATATTAAAAATATATAGTTTTCAAAAAAATATAAACACCATCCAATCTCTTCTTTCTTTGCTCAATCTCTTCCAAAGAAATATAGAAAAAGTATTTCTTTTGTGTAGATTGTTGTTTTTCATATTCTAAATTTTTAGTTTATTT